GAGTCTTCTTGTGGTGATGGTGATGGTGATGGTGATGATGGTAGTGATGATGACATAGTGTTCTTTCAAAAATGGGCAAATCCTACCAGTGCAGAGTCTTCTTAGGAAGCAATATTGTCCTGGCAAAGTGGGGGTCAGGAGGCTTCCTAGGTCTCTCTTGGGCTGGGGAGTAGGGAAGGCACCTTTAAGGGGATGAATGGATGGAACCGTGATTCGGGCATGCAGGGCAGCAATGTAGGGTGCAGTGGATCTTTTGAGCATGGCAATTTCACTCGGGGCCAAGATCAGTGCTGAGCAAATAGGTTACTGATTGTGTGGGGTCCGGAGAAGCCATCATTACCCTTCTTGTTCTTGAGAGCCAGGCCTACCTGCCCTGACTATCCCACCTCAACTATAACCCACACCATTCCCAGGTCACTCTAAGCCCCCTTAGTCCACTCTACTTTCTTTGCCATGGTTTGTATCACTTTCTGATTTGCTCTATTATTGTGGGGTTGCATCAGTATTTTGTTGGCTGCCCCCCCCCGCCACACACACACACACACACACACACACACACACACACACAATTACAATATGCATCAGCCACAGGAGGACAGGGAACTTATCGTGCTCACTGAACTACCCCAGAACCTAAAACAGTACCTGCCACACAAAAGTGTTCACAGTATTTATGAATGAGTAGCAGCTATAGTGTTTCCCACCTTGCTGACCTGTCCCTGCTGGTGGTGCACACCATGCACACCATTATCTGTTGGGTAATTGCTTAGGAGAAGCTCTCCATGCAGCTTTTCCTGCATAGACACAGACTCAGCCCTCCTGGACAGACACGGTGCTCCCTCTGCCATTGATTAGAACCAGTTGGAGTCTTTTTTTTAAATTTCATGGCCCTCACCCCCCTGTTGTCTGTGTCCATTGGTTAGGCTTATATGCATGCATACAAGTCCTTTGGTTGATCTCTCCCCTTACCCCAACCCTCCCCTACCTTCCCTATGAGATTTGACAGTCTGATCGATGCTTCTCTGTCTCTGAATCTGTTTTTGTTCATCAGTTTATGTTGTTCATTATATTCCATAAATGAGTGAGATCATGTGATATTTATCTTGCCTGTAACAGGATTGAGCACTGATTTCAGGAAAGTAAGAAAATTACCAAAATGTAGTCATCAATCTATCTTCACCTTGGTGGCACATTGACAAGCATTATAAACCAGGACTTGCAAAGTAAATGCAAATTTATAGACCTCTCATCTCTGTCCACAGGACCCAAATCTGGCAGAATTGGTATCACCATTGAGCTATTACAACTGGACGATGAACTCTTCTGTCCACAGATTTCCTCTGAATCCACAGGTAACCCAGCTATTGGAGCTGCCTGGCAATTCATCCTGGGCCTCAGCTTCAGAAAGGCCATCTAAACAAATTCCATCTGCTTAAACCAGTGGCAGCAATTACAGCTACTACTCCTCTGCACCACGCCACGGCCCTGCCAAAAAACTCACCCCATTCCAGCAACAGTCACACGCAGTATTGCTCCTCAAAGCTGAGCAAGCCTTAGAGAATCTGAGAGACTGAGAAATAGCCAAAGTAGTATATGTGGCTGACAGAACCTACACTTGACCCTACACCCCCTAAGTGTCTCTGACTTCAACCTATTGCTCCCAACCATTCCACTCGCCACCAGCTCTGACTTCTGGAGCAAATTATCGATAGAAATGTAGACAACTGGTGATTCCTAGATCCACAGCACCTGAATTCACCAATCAGTCTTAATACCATCAAAAGTGACATGGAAAGACATTATTGCTTCCCACTATTAGGCAATAGGAAGTACATAGCATTCTCATAAAATGTTCTTGCCAAAAAACTTTTAAAAAAACCTGAGTTTAATTGAACCTTAGACATAAACACCAGTTTACAGGAAACATGGAAGATAAAAGACTTGTTCATTGAGAGGGCAGTCAGCTAAATCCAAACAGAACTCACTCTGTAGGACAATGCCTCCGTGGCTTCAACAAATAAATTCACAAAAACGCGAAGAACTACTACAGATTAAAAGAGACCTAAGAGACACATCACCCAAGTGCAATGTGAAACCTTATCTGGATCCTGAATCCAGAAAAATACCTGTAAAAAAATAGTTTTGATATAAATTTTTATGTAAATACCTATTAAACTATTAATTGGTATTGTATTGAGTGTGAAAAAAACAGAATGATGGTGTTATTTCAAAAACATTTCCTGTTAGAGCTAGATACTGAAGTATTTATGCGTCAAATGGTATGGTATCTAGAATTTGCTTCAAAGCAAACAAAAGAGTAAGAGGTAGATGAAATAAGAATGACTGAGTGTTGATAATTATTGCAGCTAGGAGATGAATAAATGAGGTTCAGTACACAGTTTGTTCTATTTCTCTATATGTTTCATATTTTCATAATAAAGTTAAACCTGAAAAGAAGTGATGATGTTGGGGTATAGAATTTTTAATCCCAAAGCAGTATCATGCTCAATGTGGAAATAGTCGAGATTTTTCTTTAAAAAGCCTTCCTATTACAGGAGATAAAGTTACCAACTTAGAAAAGCCCCGTGGTTATTAACACAGTGAGGTGCTCCCCAGGAATATACCACAGAAGCCAAACGGGAAATGATTAAAAGATAAAACCATGCACATTTAAGAAATAATATATATTTTTAAGTTATTAGAAAAACATTTAAAAGCATGTGATGAAATGGGAAAATTTTTGCAAAGTACATGTCATAAAAAGCTTAGCCTTATCATTAAATTTAAAATTTCTTGTAAATCTATAAGAAAAAATAATACTCTGCCCAAATGAGCAAAAGATATGAGCAGAAAGTTTGAGGGAAAAGGGGAAAAGGTGTCCAGATGGTCAATCTGGATAAGGGGAAACAAGAGCCAGGCTCACTGGTAAGAAAATCAGTGAATGTTTAAAAAGCACAGCAAAGTCTACACATCATTGATGAAAACAGCATATTGAACAACATCTGATAGTCCCTGTGTAGACAATAGCTCATCGAGACTGTCTTCGCCTTCACCGCCAGCAGGGCCAGAAATGGGTTCCCACTTCCTATTTACATGAAGGGAAAGCTGCATGAATGACCGTCCCTGCAATTCCTCCTGAAGGTAGGTATTCAGGTGCGGCAACTGTGAAAACAGTACGGAGTTTCCTCAAAACTTTAAAAATGGACCTGCCCTATGACTCAGTGATCCCACTTCTGGGAATGTATCCTAAGAACCCCACACCACCAATCAGGAAAAAAATATATGCACCCCTATGTTCATAACAGCATTATTTACAATAGCTAAGATTTGGAAACAGCCCAAGTGCCCATCAGTAGATAAGTGGATAAAAAAACTGTGGTGGTGAGTCCTCCAGCTGTGCAGTCAGTGCCGTGGTTCTCCACCAGGTCTGAGATCTAAGCCCCAGCCAACCCAGTCACAGCAGAGATCTAAGGAGCCATGATTGCTCCCTGGCTTCAACGAGCCTCTGGTCCAGCAGACAACAGGCTGTCAGACAAACACAGAACAGAGTGATATTGGGGGACAGGCTTACTGAAGAGGGGACCTGAGGGCCGATGATCATAAGGGAGATCACTGGGAGTGTGGTGAAGTGAAGGGGTGCCGTGAGGGCAGAAAAGGGGCCATGGAGACACTATGTAGTGAGGGAAGGCACTTGCTACCTGGGAAGGGTTCTCTGTGGAAGAACCCCGACCCGCAGATAAACATCACGGGTGCCATGAGGGCAGAAATGGGGCCATGGAGACACGCTGTAGTGAGGGAAGGCACTTGCTACCTGGGAAGGGTTCTCCGTGGAAGAACCCCGACCCGCAGATAAACGTCACCTCGTGGCAGCTGCCATGATGTGACAGGGTTACCTGTGGTTGGCCCATGTTTATTTCTCTCCCGGGCTCCAAGATCCCAAAAGAGCCCATGCATCTGCCTTCAGTGCCTCTCGGGCTTGAGAATGTCTAACTCCCAGGCCTGGCCTCTTTCCCTCTAATCACATTCTTAGATTTAATCTTCTCCACCCAGTTGCTGAGCTAATCTCATCTTGCCCAGAGGAGACCCACCCTTTTCCTCCTGGGAGGGACAGAAGATGGAATCTCTCCCTTTGCCCTCTAGGATGGCACTGTCTGCCCTCCAGCTTGTCTCCTTTTAAATCCTAAATTCACCCAGAGAAGAGTCTTTCCATCTCTCTTCTCTCCAAGGAAAAACACCCATCTGTTACATGGCCCTTGGTCATTCACAGGGTTCCATTAGGATGGCTCAGCCCCACCCTGCCCAGCCCTGACCCCTGCTTCTCATGGTGATTCTGTCCTGACCTCCCTCAGAGAAGCCTTATGGTGTGAAGGGCCCCCCACATCCTCAAATGACCACCGCTTGCTCCCTGATCATGAGCTCCATGATCTGCTGTGTCACCTGACATAAAACCTAAGTGACAACTACATGCATGGACACATTTGTTTTTTTCTTGGGAATGCCACCATTGTCTTCTCGCCTGTTTTAACTGTGGATAATTTGGATTACTCTGATGTGGCCAAAGATCCCAGCAAACATGCTCTCAGGTTGTGTTTTTTTCCTTTCTTACATCAGGAACCCATTACACCCTTCACTCTCTCACACCAAGTAGGATAACTATGGGCCATCCGTCCACCTCAGTCAGTGCCTTTGGAAGGAATCAATGAGCCATTCTTCAACCTTGCCCCTCCCTAACTTTCTCTCTCCTAAACGGATATCTGGGTCAATCAATTAATAGGGAGAAACGCATAAATCCCATTAGGATTATGGGGTTTAGACCAGGGGTTCTGATTGGATGTTAGCATTTGAGAAGGTGTATAAAAACCTCAGGCACCAGAGGAGAGATTCAGAGTCCTCCAGCTCTGCAGTCAGTGCGTGGTTCTCCACCAGGTCTGAGATCTGAGCCCCAGCTAACCGGGTCACAGCAGACGTTTCTGCAGGATTCCTTTCTGAGCACCTTGAAGATGAGCATCCGCACGCCACCCACACTCCTGAAGCTGGCAGCAAAGCGCCTGCTGAGTGGCCAGGCCTCGGCCATTGCAGCTCTGGAGTACCTGCCCGCTGAGCTCTTCCCATACCTGTTCGTAATGGCCTACCGTGGTGGACGCCGCCCCCAGCTACTGAAGGCGTTGGCTCAAGCCTGGCCCTTCACTGTCCTCCCTCTAGGGGTCCTGATGCAGCGTCCCCCTGATCATGCCCCAACCAGGGCTGCCGGCTTAAAAGCCGTGTTTGATGCGCTTGACGTTCTGCTTGCCCAGGAGGTTCGGCCCAGG